GTGACCAGAAAGATTCTCGTGGCTCTCTCCCTCCCTCACCGACACCGTCCATCCTTCAGGGACCCCTGGACCCAGCCGGAGCTGGACTCCAGCATGGAACCACAAAAGACCTTGAATAGCCAAAGTAGTCTTAAAGAATTACAAAGCTGGAGGTATTACAACCCCAGATTTAAAGATATACCTCAAATGCATCTGGGTGGCTCAATCAATCAGTTTAGGGTCTGACTCTTGGTTTTGGCTCAGGTCATACATGATCTCATGGTTTCATGGTTTTGAACCCCACATTGGGCTCTGGGCTGGTGATGCAGAGCCTGCTTGGGATTCTCTCTCTCTACCACTGTCTTGCTTGCACTCTCTCTCTCTCTCAAAATAAATAAATAAATTTTAGCAAAAAGATATACTATGAAGAAGTAGTAATCAAAATAGCATGCTACTTGATAGGCAGGAAGCTCAGCATGTGCAACAGGAGAATGGACTTAGAAGTCTTGACAGAGAGCCCCAACGAAGGGCCACCCTGGGACCACTCCATTCCACTCATTTAGCAGTTGGTTTGCATTACAGCATCCCAGCAGAAGAAGAGTTAAATTTGTTGTATTTGTTGCACTTGTGCAGAAAGCAACCACTTGTTCTTATTTGACCTCTGTCTCTAGAATAGAAATATTGTTGGGGTTTCCTACCCTGTGCAGGGATTTCAAATACATCTTGATAAAGGACATGCATCGTTGGCTAATTATTATATAATCTAGGCCTGTCACTCAAATGTTGCTACTGTAGGCCCACTCAAAAGAAAAAACTGATATAAGCTCATACCTCAGAGTTTCAGGGGCCTTTGTCTCTCTTGACACTCCCTTGGAGTGTACTTTAATAAAACTTTGCTCTTTTTCACTTGTATTTTCCTGCCCTGTTATTCTTCACAGTGGCAGCAAAAAGAACCAAGGCTTCTTTCCTTTCCCATCTAACTCTAACAGTATTGGCACAAAAACAGACACATAGATCAATGGAAGAAATTGCACAAAAATAAACCCACACTTACATGGTCGATTTATCTATGACAAAGGAGGCAAGAATACACAATGGGGAAAAGAAAGTTTCTTTAATAAAGAGACCTGTTCCTGGGAAACTGGACAGCTACATGCAAAAGTGAACCTGGAACATTTTCATAACCATACATGAAAATAAACCCAAAATGGATTAAAGACGTAAATGCAACACCTGAAACTGTAAAACTCTTTGAAGAAATCAGTAGTAATTTATTTGATATCTTCCATAGAAACATTTTTCTAGATAGGTCTCCTGAGACAAGCAAAACAAAAGAAAAATAAACCATTGGGACTACGTCAAAATAAAAAGCTTTTGCACAGTGAAAGAAACTATGACAAAAAGATAAAAAAGCAACCTACTGAATACAAGATATTAAATGATATCTGTGATAAGAGGCTAATATTTAAAATACAAAAATAATTTATTCAGCTTAACATCAAAAAACCCCCCAAACAACCTGATTAAATGACGGACAGAGAACCTGATTAGACATTTTCCCAAAGATATACAGATGGTCAACAGACAATGCATTAGGGAAATGCAAATCAAAACCATAATGAGATATCACCTCACATCTGTCAATATGGTTAAAATAAAAATCACAAGAAACGAGTGTTGGCTAGGTTGTGGAGAAAAAGGAACCCTCATGCACTATTGGTGGGAATGCAACTGGTGTAGCCACTGTGGAAATCAGTATGGAGTTTCCTCAGAAAATTAAAAATAGACACACCATATGATCTAGCAATTTCATTACTGGGTACTTACCTACCCCCAAACACAAAAATACCAATTTGAAAGATATGCACCTTTATGTTTACTGCAGCATTATTTATAATAAGCAAAATATAGAAGTAGCCTAAATGTCCATCAACTGATAAGCGGTAAAAGAAGATGTGGTGTGTACACACACACACACACACACACGCACGCACGCACACACAGAATATTATTCAGGTATAAAAATTGAAGTCTTGCTATTTGCAGTGACATGGATGGAGCTAGAGAGTATTATGCTAAGTGAAGTAAGTTGGTTAGAGAAAGACAAACACCATATAAGTGCCCTTACTGTGGAATTTAAGAAATAAACAAAGAAACAGAAAAAAGAGACAACCCCCCCCCCCCCGAGACTCTTAAATGCAGAGAACTGGTAGTTACCAAAGGTGTGGGGGGGGGGGGTGAGTGAAATAAAGGGGATTAAGAGGTACAAATTTTTAGTATAAAATAAAGTCACAGAGATAAAAGTACAGCATAGGGAATATAGTTACTAATATAATGTGGTACATTGGTGACTGATGGTGGCTACACTTACAATGATGAACACTGAGTAACATATAGAATGGTTCAGTCTTTACACTGTGCACCTGAAAATATAATACTGTATGTTATTGTACTTCAATTAAAAAATTGCCGAGTGATGTGTTTTTCCTTCCAATTACACAGCTTATCCTTTGTTTTTCCTTTTGTAGAGCATTATAGCTTGTCACATAGATCCAACATCTTTCTGATTAAGATTACTCTTATTTATGTATTCTATTGCTTATCTGAAAAGGCTTTTTTACTATATATTTTATTAGGTTATTGTTGGTTTATAAGAAAGCTCATGGTTGTATTCACTTTCTTTGTAAGCAAAATTATCTGGTTTTGCTTTCCAAAATTCTACTATATAAATTCTCTTAAAGTAAAATTGATTTTGGTTTCTTTTGGTATGCAGTGCTATGAATTTTAACACATGTATAGACTCCACCACTAAAACCACCACTATAGCCAAGATACAGAACAGTTGCATAATGCCCCCAAACTCCTTTATATACTCTTTCTGAATTATCTTTTATTTCTATTATCTTTCTATTAGTTCTCTTAACCTTTCCAGGTGGATGCTGGTAATGTCTGTGTACACTTACCTTTTGTTTTAAAGTGGGCAAATATTGGGGTGCCTGGGTGGTTCAGTTGGTTAAGCAATCCGACTCTTGGTTTCAGCTCAGGTCATGATCTCATGGTTCATGAGTTCAAACCCTGCATCAGGTTCCTTGCTAATTAATGACACAGAATTCTCTCACTCTCTCTCTGCCCCTCTTCTTAAAATAAATAAATAAAATAAATAAAAATTTAAAAATTGGGAAAATATTTAAAATTTAGTGAATTTTTGCAGCTTCTTTTATGTTGGTTGGCTTTTAAAAAATCGCCTTTCTTTCTCTTTACAGAAATTTAAAAAATGTTCAAAAGTTGTTTATTATTTCAAAGTCTGCAAGAAATGTGGTCATCTAGGGAAGATTTCCTTGAACTCTGCTACTAGTCTTCTGGGGAACATAGGATAGGTGTCATAGCTCTGAGGAGTTCAAATTACTGAGGTATTTGAGGAGAAAGCTGTGTTTGGAGAGCAATCCACAAATGAATGATTGGCCTTCAAATCAATATGGGAAGACCCTCAGTTATGGTTTCAGGCTGAGAATCTATATCTAGCATTTTCCTGAATTATGTGTCATGTACATTTCAAAAAAAATGTTAATTGAATCATCTCTGCTAGTTACTCTATATTTTGTTCACTACTTTATGCTAGGCATTGTGCTAAATGCTTTACATTTATTTGTGTTATTTAATTCATACACCATTTTTCTAGGATACTTGTGAAGTACCTGTCCTAACTCTTTTACTGTGGGCTTTCCAACTTCTCCTTCCCCAGATTTCACCTGCTGGTGGTGGCAGATATCATTATACCTACTAGTCTAAACTGATTTTTAGTGCCCTGTCAAAAACTTTAATACATGATTATTCCTTTATATGATTCTTCCAGTAAGTTTTTGTTGTTGTTGTTGTTTTGTGTTTTTTTGGTGACAAAGTATCTTAGCCTAAAAGAGTTATTTTCCAACTTTGACACACTGACCACTGTGGCATAAAGGTGGGAGTATTTCTATGTTCAAAGGAGCAGTTTTTTGCTACTAAAATACTCCTTGATATTGCTCAAAGGTGTCCCCCTCGTCCATTCCCACTGGTGCTTTCTCTAATGAACATTGCTTCATCATGAGTGTATCCTCACTTTAAATAGCAAAGACACACTCCACAATTCTTGCAACTTTGGGAAAAGTCAGCTCAACATTTTAATAACTCCCACTGCAAGTAGACAGGAGTGTCTAATCCTTCATCTCCTGAATGTCACTACCTTCTAGAGGCTTTTATATCAGGAATAGGAAAAGCCTATATCCATACTCCAGGCTTCTGATGCTTCCTAAGAACGATGGTGATTTCAGTAGGCTTGTGAATCTCAAACTACATGGTGTTTTAGATTCCTGATGTAAAACTGGTAGGTTAAAATCTGGAAATAACATTAAGGATCTTGAAAAGTCGTGGTTTGTGTTCTTCAGGTGGCAGAAACAATGTATTTAATAATTCTATAGAGCAAATATAATGGAGGAGTAGCAAAGAAAAAAGAGTTGAAGACATATAGATGATTCCATGAAATACGAATTAAATATGAATTCTGGAGAAAGAAAGGAGAAAAAATTCTGACAACTGTTTATTCACTTACAATGAATATACAATATATTCATCTTATATGTGTGTGTGTGTATGTATATATGTATATATATAGTATAACAGCTTCTGAGTTCCCATTACTAATTACATTATTAAGTTATGAAAACAGAAGAAATATTCAAAGGTGTAAGGCTGAGTATTTTCAGTGCATTTAATATATCAAGGTATTCATAATTTTTATTTAAAATGGGGTAACAACTTCAAAAAGATGAAATGATTTTTGCAAGAACATGCCTTTTCCTAAATCCCTGCATTGAAACTAGGTTTGAATATTTTTACTGTAATTATTAATATTAATGGACTAAAACACGCTGATTATTTCTGAACAGTATTCTTAACTATGAATTTTGAAACCTAGAGAATTCTTAAATGTTTCCCAGGAAATATGATAAGTGCTTTCTACAGACTATTTAATTTAATTCTCTCAGGTAAAGAGCCACATCTTACAGGGGCTAAGATCAAGATTAAGGGGAGAGCAAGATCACACAGCAAGGTAAGGACACCTTAACCCTTTGAACTACTTTGCCACAGTTCAGTTTTAATAGTTCTAGACTATGGTTCTTTGATAAAGTTTATAAATATTTATCAATATTGAAAGAACAATTTGAGTATGTGTAAATGGTGATGAAGCCTAAATTTTTTCTCATGGGAAAAAAGGAGTTTACTTAAAAAAAAAATCGTAGAAGATATTTACAGGACTTGAAATGTGCTGCAAATCACAAACTCAGTTTTGAAAAATGAGTCCACGTCCTTAACATGTCTTTTTCCCCTCAAATGGGTGCTATGTCACTTTGAAATACCACCATCTTAGCGGATTTTTAATTTATTTGGTTTTGAGCAACTTATATTCTGGTATTCCAGGATGCCCAGCACTAATCTTATATATCTCCTTGTCCAATCTTAGAATATTTTTTTTCTAGTCTAAAAAAATAGCTTTGTTGGAGTAGCATGAGATGGAGGGATATTCTCTCTCTCTTTTAAAAATGTTTCTATGGGATCATAAAGTAAAATTGAGAAAAACTCATATAGGTTTACCTTTTGGTTATTAACAATTTTATGGAATTAAGAAATTAACTTATTTATGTATGAAATATTAAGAATAGTACTTATCAATAGTGAGAAAACAATTTGAAAATTTGCCAGTAAGAATAGAACTGGCATTTTCTGTAGCTGAGAAAACAGGAGACCACTAGAAGAATCATTTATTACCCTCTAGGATACATTAAATGGGTTTTCTGAAATTGTTATGTTAAACTGTTAGTTAAATCCAGTGTTCAACAATAATGGATTTGACATAATTATATTGTTATTGTTTAACAGAAAGCTTGGAGATTTCAACCCTCATTTAATTTTTCATATACCCGACTTATTAAGTAGAGCACACTTAGTGTAATCTTCCTTTAGAAGTATGGGTTACGTAACTCCTTAGTACTCAGAATGGGAATATTAGTGTGTGAGTATGTGATGAATATAACCCAAAATGTGATGTTGGTCAAAACCAAGAAGTTGTTCATTTGAAGTGATATCTGATACCAGTGGTTAAATTCGTCCCAAAAGGAAAAATCTTTACTGAGATAATTATTAGTTGGCTTTTAGTTAGTCAATTTTCTTGTGAATAATAAATTGATATCGTAATTCTTTCATGTGTAATTGTAGAAGTGTCACATCTTCTAGCTCTGTTATTTTGTCCTATTTTGTTATTACAGAGCAGAGTCTGCAGATCATGGAGGGATTCAACCATTCTGGAGTGTCTGAATTTGTATTACTTGGACTTACTGATTCTCCTGAGCTCCAGATTTTTTTCTTTGTAATGTTTTCTGTTTTCTATCTAATAACTATGTTGGGCAACTGCTTGATTTTGCTCACAGTCCTATCCACCCCACACCTTCACTCCCCCATGTATTTCTTCCTCAGCAACCTCTCTCTCATTGACATGTGCCTGTCCTCCTTTGCCACTCCAAAGATGATCATGGACTTCTTGGCTGAGCATAAGACCATCTCCTTTGAGGGCTGCATTTCTCAGATCTTCTTTTTGCACCTTTTCACTGGGACTGAGATTGTGCTGCTGATCTCCATGTCTTTTGACAGGTACATTGCTATATGCAAACCTCTCCATTATTCAACAATTATGAGCCAAAGAGTGTGTGTTGGGCTTGTGGTGTCTTCTTGGACAGTGGGCTTCCTGCATACAATGAGCCAGTTAGCTTTTACTCTCTATTTACCCTTCTGTGGTCCCAATGTTGTAGATAGTTTCTTCTGTGACCTTCCTTTGGTCATCCAGCTGGCTTGTATAGATATCTATGTTCTTGGAATCTTCATGATCTCAACTAGTGGTGTGATTGCTCTTGTAAGTTTTCTGCTTTTGCTTACCTCCTACATCATTGTTCTTGTTACTATCAAGGACCACTCCTCCACAGGATCATCTAAGGTTTTTTCTACCTGTACTGCACATTTCCTAGTTGTGTTAATGTTCTTTGGGCCCTGCATCTTCATCTATGTGTGGCCTTTCACCAACTTCCTGGTGGACAAAGTTCTGTCTGTTTTCTATACAATCTTCACCCCCTTTCTGAATCCACTTATTTATACTTTGAGAAACCAGGAAATGAAGACCGCTGTGAAGAAGAAACTAAGTAACCAATACTTACATCTTGGGAAAACTACTCCAAGATATCCAGTGCAATGAATCTCATTAGATTTACATTATCAGTTTTATTCTTATAGCAATACTTAGAATCTTCATTTCAAGTTCTTTAGTCTAAATTCACAAAAAGAAGCAAGGGCTGAGAAAGGTGAAATATCTTGCCTAAACATTACTGAGATGTGTGTGAGACTTTTGAGATTACAGATACATTTGAAAATCTGTTGAAATCTATAGGTTATTTTCATAGAAAAATCATATATAATCAAAACATAAATTTAGGGCTTCATACACCCCTGAATCCTATCAACATACCTCAGAAACTTAGAGAAGCTGGACAGAAAATACTGCTTGTCTTCTAACCCAGAACATTCCCTCATTGTACAGCCTTGTGGTACTCTATGGTGTCCATTTGTAGAACTTTGACTAAGAGTGTTGGGCATCACAAGTTTTTTTTTTTTCCATTGGAAATATTTTTGTGGGAAAATTCATATTGTGAAGAGATTCTTCTGAGTCAACTTTGTACAAAACAGAACAGTTTGGAGGATCTGAAATTTAACAATATGGTTTCTTAAGGGGTGTATAGATCATTACCACACTTGATAATTGGTATAGCAAATAATTATTTAAACAGCCATTTGTGTTGGGCTACCTGGGTGGCACAGTCAGTTAGGCATCTGACTTCGGCTCAGGTCATGATCTCACTGCTTGTGGGTTCAAACCCTGGATCGGGCTCTGTGCTGACAGCTCAGAGCCTGGAGCCTGTTTCAAATTCTGTGTCTCCCTCTCTCTCTGCCCCTCCTCCACTCATACTCTGTTTGTCTCTGAAATATGAATAAACTATCTCTCTTTAAACAGCCATTTGTGAAGTTCAAGCCAGAGAAAGTAAACAACTAAAATCTGATTATCTTTTAAAACCTGGCTGAATATCAGAGATATTGTGCATTCATTTACTATTAAGAATAAATATTTGAAAAATTAACTAGTAAATTCATGACAAGTTTGTCATCTCCAAAGTTAAATATTACAAAACTTTATTAGTCTTAGTTTTGTTTCTGATGTTCAAAATAATGTAGCCTATAGGAAGAAAAGATGAAACTGATTTAAAAAATATATAGCACAGTTCTTCCTAATCTGCCTAATTAGTGATTGTGTTAAACATACTTTTTATTCCAAGAAGGTTTTTGAAAATCAGCTGGCCAAACCATTTTCCTAACAGTGGAAGAACCTAAGTAACAGAAAATCCATAGAGCTGGTTCAAGACTGAATCACTATAATGGGCAAAGGCCATTGCTCTAAATATACATATACCTCAGAATTAAATCTTGGATCTGTCATTTCCTAGTTGTATTATCCTGGGAGATTCACTTTGTCTCTCTATGCTTTTAAATCTCTAATATGAGGATAATAAAAATGGTTTGTTGTGACTATTTTATGGAAAGTGTACAGACTAGGCTCCAAAAATGTCCATTTTCTTTTCCCTTCCCAACTACACAGACTCTTACCCAAAATTCCTTATTTTTAAGTAGTATAACTTTAAAGAACAACTGCATTCAGGTGAAACCAGTAGCTCACAAAATTTTCTATTCTAGGTTTAGGATGTCTCCTTCAGCTTGTTAAGGCACATGGCAGAAAAACAAACAACACTTTCCAGTTTTCCATTGCTAACAAACACGGAAGGTGGTTGTAAAACTTACATTAGACTGCCAGATACTTTGTCTTTTTTATAAATAACAATGTACTGATAGGCTGCATTTCTTTGAACGGACTGAAGTTTCTGAAAATAGTTTAGGAAAAATTTGTTCTGATGGATTTAGACAGTTTGGCATTCATGGTATTAACAGTTTGTTACATTTATTACGGACTTTTAAGTTCTCAAGATGATTCAACACAATCTTCAAGCCAAGTATTTAATATCTGAAGTTAAATAATGTGGCAGAAGTTTATGAAGAAATGTAGTGTTGGAGCGGGTATAAAGAACACATTCTAGTTTAAAATACTAGTTAACTTTTAGCCAAATCACAAACTCTCTATTCTTGCCACAAAATCAATCAAATAAGAAAAAGTTAAGTAAAAATGTCCTTTTGTCTCATCTCCATTCTTCAGCAAAAATTATCATCTTTGCTTTAAAATATAAACCATGCTCTGGGGTGCCTGGGTGGCTTGGTCAGTTAAGTGTCTTGACTCTTGATTTTGGCTCAGCTCAGGATCTCACGTTTCGTGGAATCAAGCCCCATGTCGGGCTCTGAGCTGACAGTATGGAGCCTACTTGGGATTCTCTTCCCCTTTTGCTGCCCCTTCCCCACTCACTCTCATTGTCTCTCAAAAAGAAACAAACCGGCGCCTGGATGGCTCCGTCGGTTAAGCGTCCGATTTCGGCTCGTGTCATGATCACTGGGTTCGTGGGTTTGAGCCCCCCATCCGGCTCTGTGCTGACAGCTAGCTCAGAGCCTGGAGCCTGTTTCAGAGTCTGTATTTCCCTCTCTCTCCGACCCTCCCCTGTTCATGCTGTCTCTCTCTCTCTCTCAGAAATAAATTTAAAAAATAAAAAAAATTAAAGAAACATTAAAAAAATAAAATATAAATCCTGCTTCTGAAATAGCCATCTTTAGTTCAATGACTATTTATTGAGCGCCTACCTTGTTTAAGGTCCTTCCTGGGTGCTCATGACACTACATTAGTGTAGAAGATCTATTTCTCTGTTTTTGAGGGACATATCTCTAGCAATTAGATGGGACCAGTCTATTGTAGGTTGAATTCCAATTGCATTGCTTTCTTGTTGTGCAACTTTGAGCAAGTATTCTTAATATTTCTAAAACTCTGTTTTCTCACCTACAAAATGTGGATATAGTATGTAACCACTAGAAATGTTGTGCAAATTAAAAACACATGTAACATAATTATTAGTGCTTGGCACTCATTAAAGGTTTAACCAGTACTATTAGATATTAGTATTTATTTATTTCTGTTACTATTGCCATTGTGTTAGACATGCACAAATGACAGTGTAAATGGAATGGAAATAGATGTGCTTACCTGAACTTAAAGGGCATGGTTTTAAGACCGTTCTAAGATGTGTCAACTTGCCTAATATTTGCTAATGTTAAAATATTGGATTTGTGCCAATTATTTCTTTGGTGCATTTATGTAGTTAATGTTGTCTTTTGTATTTTGTGATTTGCAAAAGAAGTATTATTTTAGAAGTTTCTTATTAATTTTAAGTTGAAATATATTCCAAGATTGCATGGGAGAAAAAAATAATACACAATGTTCTACAGGTCAGTGTCTTGTTTCACTACAATGTTTTTAAATAAAGTTTATATGATTAAAAAGTGATAAAATATTTGTCTCTTTTTATCTTTTACCCATTCAAAAGATAGGGAAATGCTTTAAATTCTTATACAGTTGGATGTATTAAAAATACTAACTGTGAGAGGCACCTGGGTGGCTCAGTCGGTTAAATGTCTGACTCTTGATTCATCTCAGGTCATGATCTCAAGATTTATGAGATCAAGCCCCAAGTGGGGCTCTGCACTAGCAGCATGGAGCCTGCTTGGGATTCTCTATATCCTTCTCCCTCTAGCCCTCCCCCATGCTTGCTCTCTCTTAAAATAAACAAACATTAAAAAAATACTAACTGGAAATGAATGGTGAGATTTACCTATTCACTTTGTATTCAGCACATTAATAAAGAAGTTACAACTCTAGGCAGAAAGACCTTGTCCAGATCTATGAAAATATAAGGGAATGGTTTATTTGGAGACACTAATAATAGAAGTATTATTTAAGAAACTGTTAAAATTGGAACTATGAAATTAGAGCATCAAGTCAGACATTTCATTTGGCTAAGGTATCCCTGAAGCCATAGGATAAATATATAATTTCTACCTGGGCATTTCTGTGTAAAGCTCATTCCTGGGGAATCAGTTAAACGCAAAACTGTCTTCATGGCACATTTTGATAACTATATTTCAGTATAATTGGTTTTCTTTACATTCCTATGTATTTTAGTTTGTGTTTGCAATATTATTCCAATGAGGAGGCTAGGGATACATTTATGTCCCCACCCTCACCCCACTCCCCACCATAACTAAGAACTCCTAGAGTGGGGACTGTGAATATCACCATCAAAGCCAGGCTGCCTAATCTAAACTCAGCTTTACACCACTCACTAGACTTCTGGTTTGGCGCAAGCTTGTTACTGTCTATCCCACGTATTAAAAATTCTTTTAGCAGAATTTTCAAGTCAACAGCCTACATTCATAACATGTTTTGTCTTTCTCTCAAAGGTTTATAAAGAAATCAAACTAAGTTAATAAAATTAGATAATGGGGAGATTTCACAAGAAAATATAGATTGATAGATTTTTAAAAAAATTTTAACATTTATTTAATGTTATGTGTGTGTGTGTGTGTGTGTGTGAGAGAGAGAGAGAGAGAGAGAGAGAGAGAGAGAGGAGACACAGAATCCAAAGCAGGCTCCAGGCTCCATGATGTCAGCACCAGAGCCCAGTGCAGGCCTTGAACTCATGAACCATGAGATCATGACCTGAAGTTGGACACTGGACCAACTAGGAAACCCAGGCATCTGAGCTTGATGGATTTTCTTTAAAAAAAAAAAAAGAAAGAAAGAAAAGAAAGAAAAGAAAGAAGGAAGGAAGGAAGGAAGGAAGGAAGGAAGGANAAAGAAAGAAAGAAAAGAAAGAAAAGAAAGAAGGAAGGAAGGAAGGAAGGAAGGAAGGAAGGAAGGAAGGAAAGAAAAAGAAAGAAAGAAAGAAAGAAAGAAAGAAAGAAAGAGAAAGAAAGAGAAAGAAAGAAAGAAAGAAAGAAAAGAAAAGAAAAGAAAAGAAAAGAAAAGAAAAGAAAAGAAAAGAAAAGAAAAGAAAAGAAAAATAAACCTGCCAACACTGGACCAGAATTTTAAGCTGCAACTTGGTTTTTAGATTAGGCTAATGTCAGAGATCTCTTCACTCTGTTTTGCCTTGAACTAGGCCACTCCATTCATGCATATTACCCCAACAGTTTCTGATCCTTAGAATGTTTAAT